AGCCGCCCGCTCGCGAGCAAAGTTTTAACCCCGGGAAAGAAGAAAGTTCAGGGGAGCGGGCCGGGGACACTAAGAGGGCGAGAGTGCTAGCGGGTGGCAACCCGGGAGCCCGAGAAAGAGAAACAGAGACAAAGAGAAAGCGAGGAGAGCGCCCGGGGAAACCCCGGAGAGGGGGCTGGGCTCCGCGCGCACCCCGTGGAGGGAGGTGGGGCCGGCAAGGGACTGTCAGCCCAGTCCCGGCCCCGCGCTGCCCCGAGAGCCCCGCAGGTTTTCTCTAGCCCTCAGCTCCGGGAGCAGGGAGAGCACGGGGGGAGAGGGAGCACAGTAAGGGGCGGGGGTGGGGGTGGGGGTGTTCTCCCTCCTGGTCCTAGCCAAACACATCTGTGTTTGTTTTCTTTGCTGCGCCGGGGTCGGGCCTTCCTCTGTCCCAGCCTGATGGTCCTAGTGGCACCACGCACAGGGCCTTGCCTCTGTGGGCGGACAGTTCAGAATAGTGAAGAGGAGGAGGAGGATGTAACCTCTGCGTGTCCTCCCCTGCGCCCGCAAGCCCTTGGGGTCTGATGAGAAGGGTCTGTTCCGCCACCCCCCATCGTTGTCACGATGGGGGGTGGGTCTGTCCGTGGAGAACATGGCTCCTTTCTCGCCAGCAGGAAACTACAGCCTCTCTCAGAGGATTCTGGTGACCTCAGGCTGGGAGCAGTCCGACAAGAGCTTTGCAAGTAGGCACGAACTCCATTTTGCAGATGGGGAAGCTCAGGTAGTAGGAGGTGAAGAAACCTCCCCCCAAGATCTCCGCTCCAGTAACCATCGATTGCAGGATAATCCCACCCAGTCAGTCTCACAGGGCGTCCTCTGGACTACTCAGCTTCTTGTTTACCTCATTATGGGCCACCTTAACAAAAGAACTAGATTAGCGATAGTTCTGCCATCCTTTGAACATCTTGGAGCAGCAGCCCAAGAGCTTTGGGGTAAAAATGCACTGGGCTGAGAGTTTGGAGCTGAATTGCTTGTTGTTGTTTGGTTGCTTTCAAGGAGTGAGCTACTAGTATACCTAGATGGAAGTCCGGGGTCCTGCGTCTGTCCCAAAGACTGACTTGCTGCTCTATCTCCATTGTCTTATTTTGTCTTACTGGCATTGTCATAAACTGAGAATCTAAGAATGGGCCTCAAGGCTCCCCTGGCCCAGTTCAGTCTCCTTAGAAGAATGCCTTCCTGAGAGAGGACCACCCCAGCCAGTTTACTATAACCCCAGGAAATAAGTCCCTTCCATGGCAAGACAGTCTGAGTTCATCCTCTCCCCTAGAATAGTACTTTAGTTTTTCCTTCTTGTGTCATTTACCTCTCACTGTTTTTATGCCTTGCCTTATGGCTCAGTGGATTTCAGGTATACAAGGATACTTAAAAGATGGTAACGCAGCATAGATTAGGATGGGAGGTGAAGGAGATAAAACGTTTAACCATTTCAAACTGGAAAATCCAACAGCACTGTGAAAGGCAGCACAGCACATGCTTTGGAAAACAGCATGGGGCATTAGCAAGTTTTCCACCTTTCTTTGCCTTGGTTTCCTCATTGAAAAATAAAATCTAATTCATAGGTTTGTGAACATCACTGAATTAACACTTATGAACAGTATAGCTTACATTATGATTCAACATACTTACTGTACTTGTATCATCTATATGGACATACTTTCATATATATACATATATATATATATATATGTATATGGAAGTATAAATGAAGCAGGGGCCTCCCTGGTAGCACAAGAGGTTAAGTCTCAGCTTAACCTTATGAAGCTTCCGAGCCACTGCAGCATGAGTTCAATACCCAGCCAGGGAGCTAATCCACATGGCACAGCAGACCTCTCCTGTCCCTCCATTGCTCCCCTCAGCAATGTATTTCACTTAATCCACCTGTTTTGCTCCCCACTCTGTCTCTGGTAAACCCTCTCAACCCAAACGCCTTGTACCTCTGGCCTACACCCCAGTTCTTATATGCATAAATAAATACAATAAATCTTTGAAAAAAAAAAGAAGCTGGATGTTAGAAATGTTAGCTATTAGTATTAAATAACTACGTCATTATAGAAATTTAATATTAAAAAAGAGCATTTAATTTTATGGAATGATGTTCATGGCATTATAAGATGGGGGGAAAATTATAACACACTATACTCCAAAAAACCACTATGCACAGTACACTCTCATTTTAATTATTTTTAAAGACTGCATAACAATGCAACGTTGTTAATTGTGGTTTTTTATGGAGAACGAGAATACAGGTGATTGTTATTTATTTTTGCTTGTATGTTCTCAAGTTTGTGTAGTAAAAATCAAGAAAAGCTAAGGAAGGCAGAAAGACCAAGGAGAAATGGCATTAAAGCTAAAATGCCCCCTGGAAAGCCCCATTCATCTCCTGTGGGTGGGCCACAAATTTGTCCCTAAGGTTTCCTGCAGCCAATCTGAAAAGGAGACCATGTTGGTTACACAATTCCCTGTGTCTATGAGATAAAAACAGACCTATTACTCAAGAGAATTACAACTATTCTTGGTACTAAAATCAGACAGGAATTTCTCCTGGAGGGCCTCATAAAGGGAACACAGTGTGAGGTAATGAGCAAACATCCTCAACAACATCCCCATAGCAGTCCCAACAGCTAGCTGCTTGGGGGCAGTAGGATGATGGCCCACAATACAAGGGGATGGCAGGACACCAAAACACAAGCCAGGGCCCTCTGGCAAAGAGGGGGGTGAAGGAGGCAAGATCTGGTGCCTGGTCACTGCCCACCAGACGTGGGTCTGTTTAGGTAATCTACCAGACTGCATCATCCAGTGCGCTACAAGCCTTCCTTGTGCTAGTTTGCTTCTGTCTGCAGAACTCGACGGGTCTTGCTGGCAGCAAGTTTGAAACTGCCCTCCCTGGAGTGCAGCTTCTCTGCTCTGCCAGCTGAGCTCAAGCCAGAGGTCTTCAGGAGGGGTGCAATGGTATTGTGAACCTTTATTGTGGTCACTTACAGGTTAAGATTACTCTGTCTAGTATTTCTGGTGGTAGGATCAACGCCTCTTATCTCCTGGAGGTCTGGGACATTCCAGGACATAGTAGAACTTATCTGCTTACATTAGAACCCACTTCCCTGTCACTTCTACAGCCAGTTCAATTTCAGCCCTACCAAGCAGCCCAGACCAAGGCCCTGGCCTCCTCCAGTGTTTTAGATCAGTCCTCCGTCATCTCTCAGCAAGATGGTCCCAGATCTTTTAACAGTTTTTTAGAGGACACTGTTTTCTGACTACTCCGCAGCCTCTCCCAAAACCTCTAATTTGTCAGTGTCCCTTCCTAAAGCATACTGCCTTCTGAGGGAACAAATGAAAAACACAGATGTCCCAGTGTTGTCCCAGAGTCTGGCAAAGGGGGGTGGGTTATAAATACATGCCCACAAAGGCATGTCAGGCTGAGAGCAGCAGGATCTACCATACAAGCTGGAGTTCAAAATACAACAGCGCTGGTCTTGGAGGAGAAAGCAAATTCCCAGGTGTTTCTGTAAGGAATGTGTTGGGAGGGGGAACCTCCATTCTTGGCGCCCAGCCTCACCTGCCAAGCCCTATGGTTCACCCAAGGAAGAAGAGAATATGGCAGTTTCAAGAAAACTTAGTAGCAAAGGAGAAGGAAGAAAACCAGAGACTCCAGTGTTCTAGAAACCAATGAAGGAGGGGCAAGGAGCATGTCACATGCCTTCAAGGTCAAGATAAGATCTGAAACAATCCTTTAGATTAAGCCGGGAGGAAGTCATTGGTGACCTTGAGTAGCAGTGGCAGAGGAGTGGTGGGGGACAGAAGCCAGACTGCTCAGGTTATAGAGTAAAAGGAGGTGAGAAAGAGGAGATAGCAAGTGTGGACAACTTTCAAGAAGTGTGAAAGCAAGCAGTAGGAAAGAGATAGGGTGATAGAATGAAGGTGAGAAGGGATCCAGGAAGGTTTGGGATTTTTTGTTGTTGTTTATAAGATAAGGCTATTGGACATGCCTAAACATTGATA